AAAAAAAAAAAAAAAATTTGTTTCTGTGTGTATGTATGTGCCTGCATATACGTAAGTGCACCACGTGCATGCAGGAGTCACAGGGGATTTTAAGAGGTGTCTGAGTCCCTGGACTTCACTTACAGAAAATTGTGAGCTACCACGTGGGTGCTGGGAACTGAACCTGGGTCCTCTGCCACGGCAGCCAGTGAGTGCTCTTGACCGCCGATCCAACACTGAGATCCTTTCTCTCTTTTAACCTCAGGAAAAGCAATACACTTACCACTAACAAATACTCAGTCTAACAGCTTTCTACAAAGTTGTTCACGCCCTAACCCCCAGAACCTGTCAAGATGTTGAGAGGCAGGGCAGATGTGACTGAGAGCCTTGAGATGGAGAGATTACTCTGGGCTATCAGTGTCACATGCTTCCTTATGACTAGACTTCTTCTTGTCTCTGAGCAGGAGGCACAACTGTAGATGGCTGGCTGGGGATGAGTTGAGATACAACATGACCAGCCTTGAAGATGGAGAAAGAGGCCATAAACTGAAGTATGCTGGTGGCCTGCTCTCCAGGAGCTGGTGGAGGCCAGGAATTGGAACCCCCCTCACACCATCCAAGAGCCTCCACACATACCTGAGGACAACCTGAGCTCAGCAGGGAGTCCTGTACTGTTCTTCTAACCCACAGGTCTTTAAGATAACAAATTTAATAGTTTTTTGTTTTGTTTTGTTTTGTTTTTTGGTTTTTCGAGACAGGGTTTCTCTGCGTAGCTTTCTGCCTTTCCTGGAGCTCACTTGGTAGCCTAGGCTGGCCTTGAACTCACAGAGATCCGCCTGGCTCTGCCTCCCGAGTGCTGGGATTAAAGGTGTGCGCCACCACCGCCCGGCCAAATTTAATAGTTTTAAAGCCACCAAATTTGAGTAACTTGTAATGGTAACAACAAAAATGTGTATAGTGCAATAGAGTGACACTTTTAAGACGATAATTCATGGGTTATTCTCATTTCATATTATAAACTGAAGATTTTTGAACTTTAAGAAGGTGAAGGAATTATAGAATGAATACCTGTTCATGCATTATAGAATGAATTTATCAACCACCAATTTTCTATAATAATTTTACTGTGTTTATATCATTTATGTATCTATAAATACATTTATCTTAATTTTAAATACATTTCAAAATAACCAGGATGTATCAGTACCCGTCATAGTAACTCATTTTTCATATTTTTACTTTCTTAGCACTGCAACCACATACTAATTCCTCTCTTTATAGTTCAAGGTGGCATCAACTCACCACAGTCAGGACCACTTGTCCTGGATGTGACAATACCCAATTAGAAAAAGTCTTGCGGCTCCAGTCTTCAATACCTTGACTTAAAAATCTATAAACCGAGAAATACATTTATATTATCGATACATGCTCATTGATGATGCCACTTAATGATGAATCATTAATACTGCTGATGTTTTAATCTGAACATGTGTCCATGAGTCGTGCACATTCTTTAAGCTTCTCTTTACCTGTCAGTATCTGGATTGGTAGAAATATATTTTGGCTTAAGAGAAGACATATAGTAGCTTTGAATTACAATGTTATCAAGGGTAAAAAGCTAAAAAGTCTGTGTTCAAAAATAATTTTTACATGGGGGCATTACATCCCTTGGTTTCTGCCACATCACCTATCACCCAGGATAGAAACAGAGGTAAGGGAAAGACATTCACAATGACTTCATGTAAATGGCAATCATCAGCTGTGTTCTAGAAACCTTGTACTGCTTCTCCGAGGATTAGTAAATATGAAAACTCAAATAGCTTTTCCATAAAGAGAGAGGAAGAACATGCAGTTGGGTGGGAGGGAGGTGGGGGAAGAGCTGGGAGGGGAAAGAATATGATTAAAATATGTTGTGTGAAAAAAGTTTTTAATAAAAAATTAGAAATGTAATACAACTATTCTAGTCAAATTAGTTTTAGAAGTTTGTACTCCGGGATGCTTTCTTCCCTGTACGTAGGTGGCAATAACAGATTAAGGTCCAGCAAGGAGACTGTTGGAAACACTAAGCCAGGGCTGTCGCTCAGCAGTGCCTGCCTAGTGCGCACAGGGCCCCAGGTTCTGTCTCCAGCAATGCTCTGACCTCCGGTCTGAACTGACTCAACAATGTGAGGAGTAAAAGTACGACAGAAACACTAAGTGGTGAGCCTGTTTTTTGAAAGCAGGCTGGAGTTGGCTTGAGTTCAGATCCTGCCCATGTTTGAGGCCCAGGAAAACACACACACACACACACACACACACACACACACACACACACACACACACATCTGAACAGAGCAGCCTTGGTGGTATCCATGATTATGTACACAGACTAGTATTTGCACTTCAAAAACAATGAGTTTTTTTCATCACTCATACATCATGCTCTATTAAAATCCACTCCATGTGTTTCTCTGAATATTTCATTTACATGGATAGCTATCCAAGCTTTATACACACATCCCAACACACACACACACACACACACACACACACACACACACAAACATATACACACTCCCACACCCCAAACACATATAGAATACATACAACACCCACACAACACCCACATACACAACAGTCAAACAACATACACAACACACATACAACACATATATACATAATACACATACAACACAAATACACACAATACACACACTATATAATTTCAGGATTTAAACACTGTACTTACTTTTTTAGAACATCAAACATGCTTTTCTCTACATTTACCATCCACTGTTCTACAGAAGCTCTTACACGAATTTTCCTGTAATTTGTTAAAAATATTATGAAAATTACTATAATATATGGATATTTCATTTCTTTGAGAAACTTGTAAATTAAGTTCTTGACACACATATTACTTTTGGGGGCAAAAGAACTATAACACTGTATCTTCTGGTTTGTATTGATTTTTGCTTGGAAAACCATGCCATAAAATACATTTCTTTAGGGAATTCTGATATCAAAAGTAGGAATATAATTAGATTCCACATAACATAGAATGTATGAGAGATAAATTGTATTATAAGATACTTTTGGGGGGCTGGAGAGATGGCTCAGTGGTTAAGCTGCTCTTCTAGATGACCCAGGTTCGATTCCCAGCACCCACATGGCAGCTCACAACTGTCTGTAACTCCAGTTCCAGGGTACCTGATACCCTCACACAGATATACGTGCAGGCAAAACACCAATGCATGTAAATTAAATTTTTTTTTTTTTTAGTTTGAGGCCAGCCTGGTCTCCAAAGTGAGTTCCAGGAAAGGCACAAAGCTACACAGAGAAACCCTGGCTGGGGGCTTTATTGGATAGAAAAGCTTGGGCATGGCATTGTTTTTCCTCAGTAAAGCTTGTCTCAGGAGCCAGATGCTGGAGGAGACAGCCTCCAGGCTGGTGTATGAGATCAGTAAGACAGAAGGCCTTGGCTTGCTGCATTTGTGTGGGAACCCACCACAGTGAAACCTGGGCTCAGAACAATGCTGATGACCCTAGATAGCACATTTCTGTCCTATCTGAAAAGCCAGACTTTGGGAACGAATGCTAGTGTCAATTAGTGCCCAGGGTCAGGCACTTTCTTTGTTCCAACTTTACAGTAAAGTAAAAGTGAGCGGAGAGCCCGCCCTGGTGAGGTGGGGGAGAGCCTTTGTTCACAGAAGGCCATCATCTCTGAAGACACGGTGGCTCTACAGAGTCTAACTGTTTGCTGCAACCAGCGCGTTCTCATACTTGGGCAGCACAAGGCCTTCTCCTTCAGCAGAGATGAGCATCTTCACAGCTGGAGGGCCGATGTCTTGTTTCCATAGGAGCATGTGTTTCACATTCTCAAAACATTTCACAAGATGAGGCTGCAAACCAGAACACACTTTCAGTTACACAGAGAACCCCTGATAGAGTGAGGAAATGATACTGCGAGAAGACAGTGCTGTTACCTGCACAGAATCGGGATTTCTGCTGTCAGCTAGAATCTCCATAAGTTCAGTGTTGCTGAGAAAGTAAAACCTTGGGAAAGCCATTCTTTTAATTTCAAGGTAATCCTGTCCAAAGCCAAAAGAAATGCAGCTGAGAACATGAGTCCAGTCATCCTAGGGATTACACCCTCACCCGGCCTATAGTATTATGGGTGCAGTATGCACACTAGTTCCAGCCAAAATGATAACCCTTGATCCGTGAAAGCTGAACTACTTCTTAGCAATGCAAAATTAAAATAAAGGGAAATGAAAACAGAAGCAAGCTAACGACAAAGGACCAACCAGGATGGAGCTCCGCCCTGTCGCCAGTCCGCCACCACCATGTGGCTGAGCACAGGCATCGCCAGCCAGCGTGCCTCCCTCCTCTCCCTGAGCGCAGGCTTCGCCAGGTTTCTGCCCCGTTTGCTCCCTGCATGAGAAGTCACCCCCACAGAGAACACATCATTCTACAAACGATCTCAAACTCTAACACCCAGTTCCCTACATTTCTCATCCCCTTCTACAGCTCACCTTTCCAGGCTTCTCTTTTGCTACAGGGAAGGACGTAGGCATCATCGTAGGCTAGCCTAAGATGGCATGCCCCCCATCCCTCCCCCATGTCTTCAGAGAGTCTCTCCTCTCTCTCTCTCTCTCTCTCTCTCTCTCTCTCTCTCTCTCTCTCTCTCTCTCTCATAGAAGGCCTCTGCTTTCAATGAAATTTCTCTCATTACAAAAACCTGAGGCATCCTCTTCACCCTTTGCTACCTCCCTGCTGCTGTCCATCTGCCCACCTTCTCAGAGTTCTTGAAAAGATAGTTTACTAACTCAAGTTTTCTACTTCTCCCTCAGTCTCCTCCCATGCTCTCATCTGGCCCCATCCAAATCCTCTGGGAGCACGTCAGTCTTTATGTTACAGGGCATTTCCAAAGCCCTGTTTTGACTTCTGTAATTTCACTTTTGCTGCATCCCTTAGCAACCTTCTAGTTCCCTTTGTGCCCCTCCCCCAACGCCTCTCTTACTATTGACACCTCTTTAGTATCAGCTTCTCACTCTTCTTTATTCCTGATGCTTCTGGGCTGTTTGAGACATAACCTCTTGCCCTTTACCTGGGACCTTAATTCTCTACCAAGACCCAAATACAGAAGCTACTCTTTTTTGTAGAAGACACCCTTCTGGAAGGCTGGGATCCCAGGGAGCTATGAGCCTTTCATATTCCTGGGAGACAGCACTATGAAACTATGGTGGTTGATTTAATAAGAGAGGGCAATGAGTTGTTAAGTATGCAGGATGCATGTACAAGGTGGGTCCACTGGACAAAGAGATGATTGATTCATGTCCCGAACAGGATGGAGTGAGATTTCATCACTACATAGTTCATAATTAAAAAGTCATCAATCAGCTCTAGGATTTCCTATCTAATATTTTCTAATCACAGCTGAGTATGAGTAATGGAAACCAGGAGAAGCCAAGCCATGGACCCGGGATTGTCCCCACAGTAGAAGATGTCCACTTGATTGTTTACAGGTGAGCATGAGCTCTTCAGCATGGGCAGAAGTGCTTCCATGGGAACTTCCCTAGCTCCCAGCTCTGTCCTGTGATTTCCTGCTACTTTGCTGGCCAGCTCACAAATGTCAAGACATTCTGCCCCAGCTTCCGCTGCTCTTACCAGCTTACTAAAGGCAGGACTGATGAAGTTATTAGCCTTCATTAAGTATTAAGTGCTCTCTGTGCCGGCTCTGCTGCTTCAAAGGCACCGTCTCATTCAGCGAAAAGCTTGGGGGGAGCAGGGGGGGGGGGGGGGGGTTACTACTGTTCTCAACTTAATGTGAGAGGCGTTGGGGGAGGGGCACAAAGGGAACTAGAAGGCTGCTAAGGGATGGAACAAAAGCGAAATTACAGAAGTCAAAAGGTGGGCATGGGCAAAACTGGTTCTTTGCTTGAAGGTCATTTGGTTAGCCCATCCATTTTGTTTTCTTTTGATAGCATTTTCATTAAACCAAAACTGGCAAGTGAGAATGAGGAAAGCTGCTGGGGGCGGGGGGGGGGGACGGGAGACGGGGACACAGAGAGATGTCCGCCCTGCGGCAGGTTCTGCAGTGAGCTTCACAGTACGGCTGCACTTCGGGTACCATAGTTTACCTCCAGACTTTTCTTTATGTTTTCTAGATGTTCATTGCAAATTTTCAGAACGTCGAGGACTCCTGTAGAGATAGTTATCTGCAAAGCGTTTAGTTTGTTCTGTACTCGGGACATTATATCTCTCCACATGACAAGCACCTGGGAGAAAAGTTTTGTTTCGGCTGACAGCTGTCTTCAAAAATAAAATGTACAAACGTAAAGAACTTTGAAAGTGCTGTAATTAAAATCTATAATATTGTTGAGTTTATAAGACAATTTTGATATGCTTTTCTTTACTTGGTTAGCCATTTTACCTACTTTGCATAAGCAGTATGTATTCTAAGAAAAACAGGATTAAACATACAATTATCATTTGTTAAGATTTTACTCAATGTATAGCAGAAAATAGATAAAGAAATTCTATATAAAACAAATGAGAACTGTTTGTGTCTTAGAGGTGCTACAGTCTGGATCTTGACCATCTCCCGAAGCCAGCGTGTCCCCATTCTGACACTGTGGGAAGCGGTAGAGCGCTGAGGAGATGGGCCTTACTGGGATGAACCTAGGTCACTGGGGTGTGACCTGGAAGGGATGCTGACACTCCAGCCCCTTCCTCCCACATTGCTCTGTTCCTAGTCTCAACACCATGAGGGAAAAGGCCCCTGCCACTCCCTGTGATGTGCTCCTCTGCCACATGTCAAGCCAACGTGAGCTGCAACCTTCCAACTTAACGAAACTTTTCTTCTCCGCACATCAATTAATTAGGTATTCCATCGCATCTGAAAGCCGATCCATAAAAGGAGCTGAATGGGATCCTGGGAAGACTGTGTAGCAGCCTTAGGATCTGGGTTCTAGAGGGACACAACTCGGATGTGAAGGCAGAGGGGGCGTCCAGCCTGGGAGCAGGATTCTTTATCCCCATGGTATATAGTGAAATCCCCATCCTGTTGACGGCCGTCCAATCTTAGACGGTAAGGGAATGAAGGCCAGTGCTACTGTCCTTACAGAAGTTATCCTTTATGGAACATTATCATTATTTCACCCCTTGGCTAAAAAAATCAAAACCCGTACGTGGCTCAATCAACTCATAATTGAGTCTGGTTCTGCTGCTGTTGGAGTTGGTGTGGGAATATTTTTAAGAGTCGTATGGTCACGCTGGAGAGATGGCTCAGCGGTTAAGAGCACTGACTGCTCTTCCAGAAGTCCTGAGTTCAATTCCCAGCAACCACATGGTGGCTCACAACCATCTGTAATGAGATCTGGTGCCCTCTTCTGGCCTGCAGTCATACATGCTGTATACATAATAAATAAATAAATCTTAAAAAAAAAAAGAGTCAAATGATCTTTTACTCTCTCTGCTCACCTAGCTCTCCCTTCCACAGTAGCTCCAGCCGGGTTCACGTTCCCCAAGGCTTGGAGACTGAGGTGGAGGTGAGGTCGGGGGTAACGTTCCCCACCAACCACTCAGCTGCTGTCACCTTTGACCCCCCCCCCATTTTTTTTTTTTTTTTTTTGAGACAGGGTTTCTCTGTGTATCCTTGGCCGTCCTGGAATGTGCCTCTTCTGCCTCTTGACTGCCTTCTGGAATAGCAGATATCTGTGGACTACACCTCTGGGCTTTTCCCTTCTGGGGCTTCCTGTAGCATTCCCTGGCTCTTTCCAGCTGACCCCAAATAACCAATTTCCAAGCTCCAGTGGAAAGTGGCACTCTCAGGGATTTCTTCATTTTGGCCCACTGATATTTAGGTTGGAGATCTTTGTAGAGAGGCCCAGTTTGGAAACATCTGTCACCACTGTCTAACTTGGGATTTTTGTCTCCAGGGCGGAGAGCTTAGATTTTTGATACCCACATACTTCCAAACAGTGTATATTAACCCCCAGGATCCTTCCTCCATCTTCCCACTCCTATTGTGGGTGCTGGTGCTAAATTTTGTTTCTGTAACTGCAAAAATACTATCATGGAAGACACTTGAGTCCCTGTACCCGTGTCCCGCTAAGCACTGTCCCAGTCCCATCTCTCTGGGTGGCTCTAATGCGGCCCTCACAACACCCTTGACTCTCAAAGATCTCTGCTTGTAATTCTCTTGGTGACTCTCTGGTTCTGTACCACGGGTATCCCTTTGTTAGTTACAGGTTTATTAGTGCTTTAGGTGTATTGTAAAGACACCCCAGCCTCTCTTAAATAAAGGCCCCTTCCCTACTTTAGCAAAGTTTGTAAAAGGACAACTATCTATTCTCTTTATTAATAAGAAACATCTTTAGTATGAAGAAGTTTTAAAGTCTGAAATTTAAAGGTCAAGGTTGTGGTAAAGGCACACTCCTTACGTGTGTGGGCTCAACAAAGCTTTGATTTAACAGAAGAGTACCAAGTATCCATGTGTCAAGAACTAAATATGTGTAACAGAAATATTGTCCCCTGTAAAGCAATACTTCCATTTAAACAGTTCTCATCTGTAACTACTAGAGGGTCCCCTCTGTTCCTAAAATAAAGTTCAGATTAATTAACCTGATGGTCATGGTCTTCTACAACTCTAAAGGTTTTCCAACTACGTAAGCCACACTCTCTACTCATTTCAGAATGACTTCTGGGACTTAGTATTAGTCCCTTAAATTCTGCCTGGATAACTCCTTTGTCTCCATTTGAGTGCTCTTAAGATTAAGCACTTTAAGAAAGGAGAAGTCAATTAATTTGAGTGTTGTGGATGAAGAGGGGAAATGGAATGCTTATCAAATGCCAAGTCCTCTATTTTATCCAGTGCAAAGTGAGAAATTCTCATTTATGTATGAATGCCACTAAAAAGCATATTTCTTATTCACATCAGAACCACACCAATCTTCCAGAACTGAAGAGACACATAATATGGCTCAAGGATTGTAATGTTCTGATGCATCTCAGTTTTTTATAGCTTTATATTAGCAACTAAGGGAATTAAGTTTTCAAAAGTAAGATGGTTCTTGTACTAGTCTACGAATGAGGAAATAATAATGGTCTGACAGATTCCTTCCTGTGTGCATTCATGATGCTCTAGTCACTTTTCCTGTTGCTCTGACAAAGTATGGCGGGGGGGGGGGGGGGGGGGGGGGACTAGAAGCAATTAGGAGAGGAAGGTTTATTTTGACCTATAGTTCGTGTGTGTGTGTGTGTGTGTGTGTGTGTGTGTGTGTGTGTCTCTGTGTGTCTCTGTGTGTCTATATGTGTGTCTCTGTGTGTGTGTGTGTGTGTGTGTGTCTATATGTGTGTCTGTCTGTCCTTGTTCAACCAAGATGGGAGGCATGGTAGCTGGAACAGGAAGCCAGCTGCTCACGTGGTTTCCAGAGTCAGGAAGTAGAGAACAAACAGGAAGTGCTACAGGCTATGAAACCTCAAGGCTCACAATCAACTACCCATTTCTTCCTGCAAGGCTCCATATCTCCTAAAGGTCCCTTAATCTTCCCACAAACCATAAATAACTTGAGATCAAATAGTCAAACACATGACCTATAGGGGCATTTCACATTCAAACCACAGGTGATGTTCACTCCTTGAAGAGATCATTTCTGGAAGATTAAGTTAAATCTCCCTATGCACTTTTTTTTTTTTTACCTGTACATGATATTTTTTATTTCTTACTTTTGTATTTCTAAAGAATTAAAGATTGGTTCAAGATAAAGCCAATCCCTTTGACATCTCATCCATTCCTCAATGGTATAAGAGAAGAGGCTTAAGTTTTGATGCCATTCATTCACAAGATCCTGCAAAAGAGGAGAAAAAAAATCCTCAAATAACAACCTAAAGACATGACATTACTAAGCCACATAATAGAAGCTGAGGTGAGGCACCAGTAGCCATTGACATAACAAAACTGAGAAAGAGCTTTATCATAAATGAAGATAAATCTGGTTCTAGTCAGTTTTCAGATGTCCTGCTCATCTAATTTTCTCATATATTAATTACATGAGAAACAAATCTTTTTAAAACTTGCACACATACATAAAATTAACTCGTGTAACATGCACAGACTATAAGATTAACGTGAATGAGCCATTTGACACTTCCGGTCACAGAACGGTAGCCAGGTTTTTGGTACACACTATTCTGGTCCCTTCTCTAAGTCTTTCTGTACTCATATCTATATGCAGGCGATGTCTTTCAGAGTTTGCACACATACAGCTGTTCTAGTCATTGCCCTGTGACCTGATTTGTCCAAAAGCTAGTGATGACATCTAGAGAGGTTTTATGTCAGCAATTAACAGTGTGTGTGTGTGTGTGTGTGTGTGTGTGTGTGTGAGAGAGAGAGAGAGAGAGAGAGAGAGAGAGAGAGAGAGAGAGAGAGAGAGAGAGAGATTGATTGATTCTCATTATGAAACTCTGGCTGAAGTTCTCTGAGTAGATCATGCTGGCCTCCAGCTCACAGAGGTCTGAAGCTGGGATTAAAGGTGTGTGTCCCCATCCTACCTAGTGGTTTTCTTTATTTGGAAAATTCCATTGTGTAGATCTTTCTAACTGACTATTACATTTTAAAAAGTAGTGAGAAGTCAATTGATGCTAAATAAATTGCTTCCTTAGAAACCAGTAGTTAGCTCATCTCACTGATCCCTCACAAAGACTCACTTTTAACTCATTTATACTTATTTGTCTTTTGGAATTTACCAGCATTCTATATTATTCTGTATTTGCTTCTATATTGTATTAAGGCATAATTGATAAAATATAAATGTCTCTGATTGATTAATTGATTTTTTTTTTTTTTTTAAGACGGGGTCTTATTGTATAGCTCTGGGTGGCCAGGAACAAGGCTTGTAGATCAGGCTGGCTTTGAACTCGCAGAGATCCAATTGTCTCTGCTTAAAGGCATTGTACTATCATGCCCTGTAACTGGCATGTGTTTAATGGTCACAGTTTCGGCATATTCTTCTCCCTGTGAAATCATTACTACAATCTGCATGCAAATGAGGCCAGGACGGCTCCAGGGGATGGCTGAGGAGGTTTTTATCACAGACATGAGGGAGAGAGCAGCCAGAGACATTTGGAAGGGTCCAGACTGAATGTGGCCAGCAAGACAGATGAGGCCATGAGGGGTAGGGGGAGCGAAAGAGGAAGAGAAGAGAAGACCAAGGGGCAAAGAGAATCAAGAGAGTGAGGACCAGGAAGCCAGAAGGACAAAGAGAACCAAGAGAACAAGCAGGGCTGAAAGGCTGAGTTATACAGGAAAGAGAAGCTGGAGGAAAGAAAGGGAAGCCCAGGGGCAGGAGAGATTTAGGGTAGGGGTGAGAAGTACTGAGAGGAGCCAGGACTCTGTAGCAGGTGCTTGGGTGCTGAGAGAGTCTGGTGGCCAGCATCTGCTTTGATATGCTAATGTGCACCTCAGTTAGCTTCTGTTCTTTGGGACCTAACACAATGGTCTCCTTCTATCCAGCTGCAAATGCACCAAGTGGTTCCCTCTGACCCTCCCTGGTGGCTGCCCAGCCCACTGTGACTATTTCAGGTGCTACTGCTAGGTCAGTCTGAGTCACAAGAAGGGAGCCTGCACCCTCTATGGTTCTGTTTTTATCACTGATCTCTCTCTCTCTCTCTCTCTCTCTCTATATATATATATATATATATATATATATATATATATGTGTGTGTGTGTGTGTGTGTGTGTGTGTGTGTGTGTGTGTGTGTGTTTCTGGTTTGGTTTTAGTTTTTTGGGCAGGATGGTAAATCAAATCTTTGAATTAATCTTACTTAGAAGCAGTCTTCCTGCATATGTGAGTTCTTTTGGCTTTTCAAATATGCCCAGCTTACAACGTCTTAGCCAATCTTTATTTTACTAAAGGCATTTGTGCACCATGCATGTGCACAAGGTTTTCTCCAATTGCAACCAAGTCGGATGTATGATTCTGTTCTTGCTGCTCATGTCTACAGTTAAAATTTTAAAATTATATTTCTTGCATCTCATTTTTAATGAATCTTGTTTTTTTGTTATTTTTCTCTTTATCATAATTTTTATTTTACTATGTGGTTTTTGACAATATAATCCATTCGATTTATTCTCTTCTTGTAATACATTGTTTTCTCTCTAAGGCCCACCTAAATAACACATTCCCTTAAATGCTTGCATATTTACAACTGTGAATTCCACTTGCTCAGATCTCTGTGACACTCTAATCTTTTTGTACCGAGGTACAATCCATACACCAATTCTATTAATTTTGTTATTGAAGAGTGCACACTGAATTAAGTCTCTTAAAGCTTTAAAATTAATTTTAGATAAGTTATTAGATGCAAGGCTGCCAGTTATGAATTATAAGAAACTGGTAAAAGTCATATTTTGTGGATATATATATATATATATGTATATATATATACATATATATGTATATATATAATCTAAATTTATCTTGCACTTCCAAATTAAACTTTGATATTTTCTCACAAATAATTAATGAGTATTTCTATAAAATTATTCTTAGTATTCACATCATTAAATATTTAATCTTCTATATAAACATATGAAAAAGTCATATAATTGAAATCAAATAGGAGTTTGCAGAAAGCAAAGTTATCCTGGTAGACTGAAGAAAATGAAAACCCTCCCAAACCGTCGCCACAGCATTTACCTTAATTGGCCTCAGATAGGAAGATCCTTTCATGGTCGCAATGATGGCCTGGGAGTCTTCCAGCTGAGTGATCACGTCGTCAATGGATGAGATGATGAAGATGGAGTAGATCTCTGTGTGATGGAGAACCAGGTGCAACGGGGAATTGTTCCAGAGCTCGATGATCTTGAACATCATTTTCTCAAGAGCAGCTTCGTTAGTTGCTGAAATCGATATCTCATTTATTTTATTTTCATATGGAAACATCTGAAATGAAGAAATCATTTAATATCCAGAGGAGCAAGCAATCCCCAAAGTATCTAAAATGGATGCTTTAAAGCCATTTCTTGAAAGGGGCACAAACTGAGGACCTGACACCGGGGAGGTTAACGTGGCAACGCCACCACTGCCCAGCAGAAAAGTTTTTCTTTAGCATAAAACTTTTAGGACTTTTTAATCTATGTTAGCTGAATAATAGATGGTAAACAAGCAAGCCTGTTTTACAGGGCTGTTGGTTAAGTCCATAAATCCTAGCCCTCTGTGTCCTCTGTGGCAACCCATCACAAACTGTGAAAGTTCATCATTTCCTGGTTCACAGTACCCACTGTGCTACATTAGCAAACAAAGAGGCCAGGCCCCATTCGTTAGCCCTGTGGAGATTATTATGTATAGTAGTAGTGGTAGATTCAGTTTTCTCATAAGGGATAAAAACAGTAATCCCAGGTAGTTCATTCCAAAGGCAGAGATTGAGAAGTTCTCTGAGTCTCTAGTATTGTGAGTGAATCTAAAGAATCTCCCAGGATCTTATGGGAATTTGCAGTCAGTATACATGGGAGAAGGCTTGTATGTCTTACTAATGCATAAAAAACAACAACAACAACAGTAACAACAAAAAAACACCCTTAGTCCCTGGTAAATCTAGCAAAGTAAAAGAAGCTACAGAAATCTGGGTTCATCCGTTGCTTTCTCTTGTTGTAGAAAGGAAAAGCTTTTTGCTAGACATAGGCGTTAGTGTGGAGGGACTAGTCTGCACATACATGAGGCACACACAGACTCCTTGCCCTGCTTGCGATGAACGGAAGAAGACATTGTGGTTGGTGGTGATGCATACAAAGTGGCCCGAGTGACCCCACAGAGCTGTCATGCTAAAGAAAAACTTTTCTGCTGGGCAGTGGTGGCGCACGCCTTTAATCCCAGCACTCGGGAGGCAGAGCCAGGCGGATCTCTGTGAGTTCGAGGCCAGCCTGGGCTACCAAGTGAGCTCCAGGAAAGGCACAAAGCTACACAGAGAAACCCTGTCTCGGGGGAAAAAAGAAAAAAGAAAAAAAAAGAAAAACTTTTCTGCCTAACATACTTTGAGATAGTTAAAAATAGAACTCAGACACAGACAATGTGTAAGGTGAAGCCTGAGCCATGTGCTGTCAAGTCTTTATGGTCAAATCTTAATCTTAATAGGCAAAGAGGTGTGTGTTCAAATGCTGTGATACTGATGCAGTTTTAGAAGGATGTTACCGCTTTTAGTGAATTATGTCCTGTTACTTTAGAGCATAAAGTCTTGAAAGTGCAAAGGATCAACCATGAAGGGACAGTTTCTTGTTCTCTTCTAACTTACCTTATGCCATGCTTTTCACACGGCAGGCTCCCAAGAGCCTGGACTTCTTAGGACACTTGCCATACAACTGCATACCATTACAAATCCCGGTATAAACAGATGGATGCATTCATTGACAGGGTTAAGACATCTCACAAAATCGTTCACCATGACTCTCATCTCTGGGTCAAGCCCAAGAAATGTAGGTTTTGGTAAAAACAGGCTGGCCACTTCTCTCTTACTAGAACCTCTCAGGAGTTCGTTGGGGTTTACCACACGATTTCCTCCTCATTAGCTCTGCCATTATAACTTAGAGAGACATGGGATTCTCTGGCCCTGGGACAGAATCTGCAAGCCTTACTCGCTTCTGTTCATGTTCACTAATTTGGACCCTCTAAAATCTGTACCAGCCTTTCTTTTTAAACTACCTATCACATCACAAAGTCAAGGATGGCTCAGAGGTTTTATATTGGGGCATCATAGGACACTGTTTCATGCAGGCCACCAGCTGCCACCCTGTAATGCCTCTTTATTTTGACTTTTATTCTAACTCTTTTATTCAAACTCTTAGCTTGCCAAATTCTTGCTCTTAATCTGACCTGTGCCCAAGTAGTTCCAATGATTCAAGATACCTCAATTAAAATACTTGAAGTGTCCTAGATTTTCACCATGCTGGTATGAATGAGCTCAGCTGCTGTCACTGACCCTTATCTTGCTGAAGCCTTCAGTAGTGCACAGATCAGTTAGGATGCTCTGGTATTAAGGCAGGGGATGATGGGAGGTTTAAATGGGACATGGTATAGGTAATGGGGGAATGCAAATGTTATTTCACGCAAAGAGTTGGAAGAATGGAGCTGCCGATAACTGAAGCAAGGGAGGGCAGAAGGAGAGAAGTCTAGAGGTGGAAAATGAAAGGCATGTTAAGTTTCTGAACGTAGCTGAGGCACATGAATGGAAACACCATCAGGAAGATGACCATCTGGAGTTCAGGAGGGAAGCTGGGATTAGGTCTAGAGACTTCAAATAGTCTAATTTTAAAGTAATTAAGGTTCTTAAAAAACTCTTCTAAATTCTTTCAAAGTACTTCCCATGTTCCTCCTTACAACAGAATTATAGGCATAATGTGCTGGCTTTGATTACATTATTATCAAAAATTAAAGATAAATGGAGGTTCTTACAGGCTAGTCAAGAAAATAGAAACTTTTTAAACTATAAAAACTAAAAATTTTATATACTATAGTTTTTTATTTTCTTTCTTATTTTTTTGAGAAAGGATTTCATATAAACCAGGCCAACCTCAAATATAATATGTATTTAAGAATGACCTCAAACTTCTAATCCTCCTGCCTCTACTTCCTGAGTGCTGAGATCATAGGCATGCATGATATGCGGTCCCAGGAATTGAGCCCAGGGTTCCTGAATGCTAGACAGGTTTCCCACAAACTAAGCCACATTCACTGCCCTACATAACAAAGCTTTGTGGGAAATCAAAATTTTGTTAATTTGACTTTTAAAACAAAATATCACTATTGGCAAGGCTATCCTAATATGTTCTTTTTTTTTTTTTTTTTTTTTTTTTTTTTTTT